CAGTGTCTGTTTTCTACATAGACTGTAGGTGAAATAATTTCCCCTACAGTCTTCATCTTTCTGGATATTTTGAGTGAGCTGTATAACCTCAGAAGAGTGAGCCCCCCCACCCCGGCTATGTGGTTTGCTTCTTGGGTCTGTGTTACTCTACAATTTCTTTTCCGATACTTTTATGAAAGATAGGCTAGGGAAATGAAGATGGGGCAGTTGTTAATTATAGACGTGTCAGTTATGGAAATCCCAGAACTGCCCAGAGTAGAGGTGGATCGCACACAAGTTGTTCATTACGATCGTCCAGCTCATGTAGAGTGGTTTATTTTCCAAAGCCATTGGAATGAAATGGCATGAAGTGCTGTTTCAGAGTCTGCTTATAGTCATCTTTTGAAGCATTTTCCATGCCTCAGTGAAAGTTTTAATGCTTGCATGTAATTCCCGTCTATTTTATGTGGAGGCATACCAACTCTCTGTTCCTTAATTTACAACCTAAGCACTGGCTATGACAGGCAACCTATTACAACATAATGCAAGATATTTTAAACTTTTGCTTCTGGATGATTAACTCTTCAAAATGCTTGAGATAAGATTGTGGCTTTAATCCCTGGTAATTGCCAAGGCTGCATCTGTAACCCTTGCAAATAGCATTAAAGCTGTGCCAGTGGTCGCAAAACTGGAAAAACAAAATCCTCAAAAAAATCTTTCCCTATTAATAATAACTCATGTGGGGGATACCACCATCTTTACAGGTAAATGAACAAACAAACCACAACCCAAACTATCTTTAAAGGCCCTTATTCACTAGAATCATTTTCTAAGGTCCCTGAAGAGGGACCTTATTTTGGCACTAAAATATTCACACACCAATCTGCCGCTGAAGAAACTAGCATATTTTTGAGTGCATGCATACATTTCTGCTTCCTCCGTTAAAATGAAAAACTCCAATTAGACCGGGAAACTACTCCTATGGAAATGTCATGTTAGGGTGTCTCTCCTTACACTGTTTATCACTAGTGCATTTTTTGTCACTGATTCAGAGATGTGGTTCCTTTCCCTGGGAACTGGTTCTTCTGTCTTCTTTTTTCATTGCGGTGAGCTCATTGCAGAACTCAAAGCACCAGACCTGCCTGTTTTCTAGAGAAAACTAGAGAAATGAAATGGGATTTATAGCTCACTCATAGGTATTATGAGGATTAGCTGGACCTGGCTTATGTTTAGAGCTGCAGGGAGAAATAAAAAGTGCCTGGAGTATTTACCTGGGCAGTACGATGGGATCTTTTTGGTTAGGGAGGAGACAGCTTCTATTTGGAATCACCCTACCACTTTCTCCTGAACCATGTGGCAATGGTTAACAGGGGAGCTCAGCTTTCAGGATTCAGCAGGAGTTTAAATTGGCAAGTCAATTATGAACCAGCCTTGTGTGGTCTCGGCTGGGCCTGATGGCATTAGTGGTCCCTTGGCTAATACAGAGGAAGTTGATTGGTGCACATGTTAGCTTAAGTGAGGGGTTAGTTGCTGATGCCATTTCTTGGGAGCCACGGTGTAGACATGGCAAGATAAACTCATGCTGCATCAGAAACTTGAAGGACGGGGTCTTTCTCCTCTGTTGAATACTCCAGGGTAGGGATATAGCTAGCCAGCAGAAGAATGGTGAGAGTTGTAGGGTGGAAAAGGAGGAAGTTAACTTTGGGCATAGCTTCACAGTGTGGTGTGGGCATGGGCATCTCATAAGTGGATTTTCTTTCCCAGTAGATAACCGAATTAGGCATCTCTAAAATTAGGTTATTCTGGCCATATAGGTAGGAACTGGGTCTTCCAGGTTATCTGTCTCTCAATTCTGCCTTGTGCTGGACACCCCATTTCTTGAGGAGTAGTGTAATTATTGCATTGTTTTTATTTTTTATTTTTTTAAGATTTATTTATTCATGAGAGACAGAGAGAGAGAGAGAGAGAGAGAGAGAGAGAGAGAGGCAGAGACACAGGCAGAGGGAGAAGCAGGCTCCATTCAGGAAGCCTGATGTGGGACTCCATCCCGGGTCTCCAGGATGACGCCCTGGGCTGAAGGCAGGCGCTAAACCACTGAGCCACCCAGGGATCCCTACTGCATTATTTTTAAATGCATAGTGGGTCACTCAGATATTGTGTCTTCTGGAAAATGCCGTATGGCAGCAACAAAAATATCTTACGCCATGCATTAGGTTTTTGCAGTAGAAGAGGTTTATGTGGTTGTTCCCAGCTCTGTACTATTGATTATGGCTCAAGACGATTTTTTTTAAGATTTCATTTATTTATTCATGAGAGACACAGAGGCAGAGACACAGGCAGAGGAAGAAGCAGGCTCCCCGCGGGGAACCTGATGTAGGACTCCATCCCAGGACCCCAGGATCATGACCTGAACCAAGGCAGACACTCAACCACTCAGGCATTCCTTGGCTCAAGACTATTACCTTGATTTCTCTTGTATCTCTTTCTCCTGTTCACTATACGCATGCGTGTATCTGTGTACCCCATAGAACATTCCTTCTCAGGGTGTTTTTTGGGGGAAGATCAGGTCTGATTTAATGATTGGGTAGGTGGGAATGAGAGGAGGAAATTTAAAATACTAGCCTTCAAAGCACAGGCTAATAAAAATTTAAAAACCCTTTTTGGGGGGCTGATCGTTGATCGTAGAATGTTGATGCAGTTAAGGTGGACCCGTTCTACGAGTGTTGCTGAATCAAGTGAATGTTGTAATTTGAATGAAGTATGGATCATAAAGTTATACCCCCAAATGTCAGGACTGCTTTTAGTGAAAGGTAATAAATCATGGTTGGCCTGTTTAAGCAGCTGCAAAGCTTTCTCTCCACCCAGGCTTTTTATAAAAGGGCTCTTTTCCAATGAAAATAAGTATTACATAGCATGTTACTGTTTACATATATTACCTCATTTATTCTATGCAGACTCACTCCTAGCTACCCAAAATGCTGTGCTCCATACAGGAATTCAGTAGAATGCAGAGCTGCCTTGTACCCTTTTCAGACAGTTAATTAAGTCCCAAATTACCTCATTTTAAGGTTAGCTTAAGCCTGCCTCATAGATCCCCTAGGACACGATCGGGGTGATGTTCCAATGTCCCATAAATACCAGTAAGCCTCTAAAGAAAATCTTAAGGGAGGCACTGTTTTGTAAATTTTTTTTCCTTAAACCTTTTAGGTTTTTATATTATTTCTAGGCCTCCCAGCTTCCACTTTTGCCTGCTTTTTCTCATTTATCTCCAGATAACCTCTGTTTTCTAATTCTATGGTTCATAGATATGCCAGGAGTGCTGGCGAAAACGATTCTTGCCTGCTTTCATTTACTGATGACAATGGTAATGACGGTGATGATGATGATGACAGTAGCAGCGACAGAAAGTACCATGACTGAAGTAGTTACTTAACATGCGTCGTGTGCACGGTTCGAGACATGATCTCATTTATGCCCCTTGCAGCCTGTGGGCGATGGCCGTAAGCATCACCCCATCTTACAGATGAGAAAGCTTTGACATTCTGGAGGCTCAGCAACTTGTCTGGAGTTATTAAGGCAGTGAGTGCAAACACTGGGAGATGCACAGACTTTCGCAGCCTATTTTCTTTCTCTTCAGCCACGTCTCATTTCCGCTACGTCATCCATCACATTGGAACAACTAACAGACTCACCGCAGCTGGAAAGTGAACCATAGGGTCAGAATTCACTCAAGCAGTTCGTCCAAGCTGATGGAAATAGAACCTTGGCTCTGTTTGTTGGCATTTTGCTGCTCAAGAAATGCCTAGGTTCCCCCTGTGAACTTGCCCCTTAGAATATCATGGAGCAAAGCTGACAAAGTCATTGTTGTCATCTGAAAGCACATGCACTTGAAAATACCCTGCAGAGTATGTGAGTCGGTAGCTTTAAGTCGGCAAGGCTATGTCTGGTTTCCTAGTGAAGTCAGAGTCAAAACTTTTATAATAGCTTTTGGTAGAGTTGTGGCAGGGATTGATGTGCGGTATCGTTGAGGAGACAGCCAGCTGGAGTGCCAACACGGACACAAGAATGCCTTTGGAAATTAAACATTGTAATGAAAACATTCTTTTGAAGGCAGGTTTCCAGGTGTGCTGTAAACCGTTCTAAGCTATAATTGAAATATAAAAGAATATTTCAAAAGCAGTGATTTATTTTTTGGCGATTGTTGTGCTAATCCTGAAATCCTAGCACGAATTAATATAAAGACAGGATTGGATGCATAAAAGTACCTGTTTTAATCATTTAGCACGTTGTTCAAAACTAAACTGGTTGAGGCTTCAAGTCTAAGGGTGAAAATCTCACTTTCATCTATCAAATCCCACCATAATCTGCCAAGAACAGCCACCAGGGGCTCCTGTGGCAGCTGTGAAGACATCCTTCCATTCTCAGAGCTTGATGTGGGGGAGAGATTTGCTGCAGTTCATGTATAATGAAGTGGTGGAGGCCGATGTTTTTGAAAGTACTTCATTAAAACTCAAAAAGAGTGAATCAGTTTTCTGTTAAAATCTTGTACTGTATGGAAATATTCTACAATGTGGAGGCTTTCAGCTGGCAGAAGGTTTTGTCTTAGGAGTTGAGTCATAACTTACTTTGCAGCAGGTGCAAGAACTGTGTTTGCCGCTGCCAGCATGTTCCACGTGAGATGGTGAGGCATTCAGAAGGCACGGGAAAGCCAGCCTTGGGAGCCTAGGAAAACAGCCAGCACTGTCCCCACCTTGCACCCACCCCCTTACCAAACATAGGTGCGTCGGTACCCACATGTACCCAGTAACCATGGGTATGAATACTGCGTCGGACACTCAGTGTAGATTGTGTGCATGTGGTTTCTTTTAGCTTGTCCCAAAGTTAGAAAGCAAAAGCTGGATCATCGTGTATGAGCTGGGAAACCAAATATGACATAAGGTGCTGGAGTCTTGTATTCCCTTGCAGTCTTGGGGGTACCCCTTATAAAGCATATACTGATGTTACTTTACCCTTTTATCTAGACGCACTACTTTGGCCTTTGGTTTCTCAGCAAGAGCCAGCAAGCACGATGGGTGGAGCTGGAGAAACCTCTGAAGAAACATCTGGACAAATTTGCTAATGAGCCTCTGCTTTTCTTTGGAGTCATGTTCTATGTGCCAAATGTGTCATGGCTTCAGCAAGAGGCCACAAGGTAAGTGCATTTTTTCCTGTGTTCCGTATAAGGGTGTGGATTAACTGTGAGGCTTCAGATGAAGTAGATGAGCAGGTTGATTTAGGGATGTGTATGTGTAGGTGTGTGTAGTGGGGGAGAGGGTGGAGTAGCTGTGGATTGTTTACCAGGTGCTTTTGTAGCTTTAAAATTGAAGTTTGAATGCATGGTGCTAATAACTCCAGTGGTTCCCCTCTGATGCTAGTAAGGTAGCAGTGGTCCTGAGGCAGTAAAATATGATGTCTAGCAGCATGGAAGTAGAAGTTGGAGACCCTGGGTAAAATAGATGTGCTAGAATTTAATAAAGAATTAACCACCTAATACTTGTTTGGTCTACTTTTCCCCTTAAAAAGCTCCCAAGCGAAATGTAGCATCAGAATTTGGATTTTGAGGATTGAGAAGGTAGCTAAAGATGGGAGCAGAATTGAGAAGGACATTGAGAAGGGAGAGTATTGCTCATCCTCAGTTACATAAGACGAGACAGGAAGCCATTGGTAGAGAGGAGACCTGGTATTGACCCTACCCTCTTGCTCATTGGCTGTATGCTTGGAAGAAAGCACCGGCCGTCTTTGAAATGATGCTTTTCCCTTATCTGTAAAGTGAGGGGTTTGCAAATGTTTCTAAAGTTCTGCAGTTCTGTTAATGAAGAAGTTGGTGTTGGTTGATATTAGTACAGTTCATTTACTGGTAAGAGTTTTCCATTAAAATATGAATTTTCCATCCTCATCAAATGGTTCTTTATGGTAATAAAGGGAATTATATTAACCCTCTGTTTTTTTAGCTTTTACTTGAATGATGGCATTCAAAGTACTTGGGAAGCAATGCTAGTGACACACTGAGAAGGAGCAGTATTGTACTTGATTATTGCGCGCCTAGTTTCTTAGATTTAAAATGTTTAAAGCAAGAATACACTTAAACATTTTTGTATGCATTTGAAGGTGATGGTTTCCATCTTCTTTTTTTAAAAATCAAAAATTATTGTGAAATAGGTGGTATTTCTCTCAGCAGAGACCATGAAATAGCTCACAGCCTGACCCAGAAAATTTCAGGTGTCGCTCATTTGAAGCACTTGGGTGGATGTTATACACCATTTTCAAGTCTTTTCACTTAATGTAGGTTCCTTTCTAGGTAAGAAGTTATTAACTCCTCAAAATGGATCAGTTTTCACTGGCTCCTGAGATCTCCTTGAGTACTTTACACAGTGTCAGGAACTCAACGTTAGATTAATAAGTACTTGCTGATTTGTGGTTCTCAGACTATGAAATGCAAGGCAGTGGGTAACGAGGATGAAACATGGACTATAAATTAATGCATACTGGGCAAAGTTCAGTTTGTAAGAAAAAACGAAGTGGTGTTAACTTCTTCTGTAAGGTCTATTGTTGAGGAAGAGCAGTTGAAGTAAATGGTGAGGGCTCAGGAATTGTGCTTTATGAAGTTAAAAAAGATTGGTTAAGCTTAGAAAAATGAAGACTTGCAAGAGTGCAGTAGCTGCCTCTGGATAGTTGAAGACTCTTGGGGGGAGGGAATTCTGTGTTAGCTCTGGAGCACAGAATTTGGGCCAGTAATAAAAGAAGTGCAAGGAGTTGAAAGACTTTAGTTATTTGATTCAACACAGGAACACTGTTTCTAATAATTAAAGCCATAAAAAGGTAGAACAGCAGACTTATAAAAGGGTGAGTGCTCTGGTTTATGGAAGTGCTGTGGCACTGAGTGGATAGTCAGGGTGGTATTTGGGAGAGGAGACCGCTATATTGGGTAGGGTGTTGAACTAGATCAATAGTTCTCAGAGAGACCAGGGCTTGCTATATCATAATTATGTGGAGCATTTACTGTAAATGTGATTCCAGGGCTGTAACAGAAGTCTGAATTGGAATGTCTGGGGCTGGGAATCAGGAGAATATATTGTTTAAAATAAACAGGATTCTTCAGGCGGTTCTGATATTATCCAGGCTGGGTAATTAGCAAATTAATTAACCTCCAAAGCTCTTTACAGTTTTAGATTTGCCAGGTAAGTAAACTTCATGCCAGATTATTCACTGTCGATATTTGCATTCATAAGCTGAAATGGAAAGTGTTGAAATCTCAAAAATGGAGTTATAGAGTAAGAGTTATGATGGTAGGGGTTATTGAGACTGGAGATCAGGAAGGACTTCTTTCCTTTTTCTTTAGAATTTCTTTTTTGCAGGACGCCTGGGTGGCTCAGTGGTTGGGTGTCTGCCTTTGGCTCAGGCCGTGGTCCCTGGGTCCTGGGATCGAGGCCCATTTTGGGCTTCCCTCAAGGAGCCTGTTTCTCCCTCTGCCCATGTCTCTGCCTCTCTCTCTCTCTCTCTCTCAGGAATAAATAAATAAAATCTTTAAAAAGAAAAAAAGAGAAGAAAATTTCTCTTTTACTCAGTTAGCTTGATTCATTTCAGATGAGTTTTGATAAGGAGTGAATGAAATCTTTTCCAACCCAGGATTTTGAAACAAACTCTATTACTGTCATTTGATCAGAAAAACTAACAAAGAAATGAAAACTCGAAGGATATGTTTATACTTAAACATGGAACCAAACTGTATAGATGTAAGGTACAGCCCTCTCTTTGTGGCGAAGGATATTTAAAGGTAGGAGCTATGTTAGGGTGAGGAATTGTGAGTTTTTATTTACTATTTTCCCCCCCAGTGTTGCAGAAGTTTTTGTTGCTTGCTCCAGAAGGGCCCTAAAAGTGGAATGTGCCAAAGGATGTCAGAGCAAGTGAATGAGGGGAGATGAGAAAATAAGAGAAAAGTATTGTAAAAGTACAGAAAGGAAAATTGATGGAGAAAGAAGAGAGAACGGCATATACTTGGGAAGTGACCCAGGTGTGATTCACGAGATGTACCACAGGTTATGGGCGAATGGACTAGATAGGGTACAAAGGAGATCTGGTTTGGATGGAATACCATTGTAAAATGCGCAGGGTTTGGTGTTAGAGAGCAGTAAATGAGCTGCACTCAAGGTGAAGAATGCTACCGATGGTCACCAGGAGCCTTTGAGAATCTGAGCCTTCTCGGGAGGTTTCAGAAGCTTTGGTGTCCGAACCGAACACTGAAACTGTCTTCCAGGCAGAGCAGCCAAAGAAGAAGCAGTGGTGGTAGGGCAGGATTCCAGAGGAATGTTTCACAGAAGGCCCCAGCAGCATTCATTAGGAGCGGGTTAGTGACTAACTCCTCAGCCATTCACTGTTATCCAAGTTACCAGGCATCTCAGGTGGGGATGTGCTTTGGCATCTCCGAGAGCACCTGGGATCTGCACCTCTGACACAAAACAGTTAGTCTTTGTGATGCCCTGCAGAGTGAGATATTTGCATAGATTAGAAATAGGAATCTGTCTTTCATTGTGGGGCAGCCCTTTGGAGGAGGCAACCATTCAACCATCTGTGCTTAAAAAATAAGCCTTTGTCCAGAGCCAACCAAACTTGTTTTCACCCAACACATGTTTGTAATGGTTCGGCTACTTCTGTTTGAGAATAAAACAGGTTCTATAACATGAGCGGGGCCCAGCCATTTCTTCTTTCTGAATAAGGACAAAGAGTTTAGAATTAGTGGTCTGGTTGTTTTGAGGGTGTATGTGAACCCACATATATCAAGACACATAGCAGTGGGAAGGAGGATATATTTAAAAGTTGTGTATTTCCTTTTTTGTCCTCAGTGCCATTCTTGAAAACTTGCAGTTTAATAGAATACTGGGAACAACACAACAAAAATTTGAGGATGATGTTGATTGTCAACTATCTCAGAAAAGTGATTGACTTTATTAAAATTATCAGCTCCAGATTTTTTTGATCAGAAAACTGAGCAGCTCTGTTCTTTTTTGACATTAATTTTGACATGCTGTGTCTGAGCTCACCTCCTGGATACGATTTTTTGAAGAACAAACCTCTTTGTAAGAGAAGGACGTCTGCCAAAATACTGTGATTGCATTGGAGGAGAAATGGACAATTCAGGCCCTAACTTTAGGTGATAATTGAACAAGAAGACAAAAGATACCAAAAGGAGGACACTCGCAGGAGAACACAAACATGGGGGAAAAAAATCTCTGGATATTCTTACAGAAGTGCGAAAAAGCTGATACAAAGAACACACTAGTAGACAGATGGAAGATGAGTCATGAAACCATAGGAATTAAAGAGATTAAGACCAGGGTTGGTTAACCCCACTCCAAAATGTAAGATACATTACCTTGGGGCTTTAAAAATGTTCGTTTTCCCACTTTGGTTAAAATGACTCAGGGGATGGGACCACCATAATTTTTTCCACTTTGCTTTGCTTCTCCTATTCTTTTGGGCCAGCTCCTCTGTTCAGCAAAGGGACTCTTGCTAGCAATTCCTCTTTTCCCGTTATGTTCTCCTCCTGACTCAAAGGAAAGATTTTTGTAATGTGTTTTAATGATTTGCGTAGCAACAGGCTCAGTATAAACACAGGGTTTTCAGATTTGTCTGGACACAGAAGGAAAAAAGATGGTTTGTGAGAAGTGGAGAAATTCTTCGTCAAACAGAAGGATACTTAATAATAGCAAGGGGAAGCCAGAAAACTGCTGGCCAAGGTTCCTGCTTTTAGTTGAGGTCTGGGGTTTTTTCCAAGTCTTTCTCCAGTATGGAAGTGCCTCTTTAGGTTTCTTTCTTTCTTTTTTTTTTTTTTTTTTCAATATGAAAGAGAAAACTTTTAAAAGAGCAATTTGTTTTTTCAGGGTGAATTTTGGTTTCAGAGTATAAGTCACCGACCAATGCCCTGGTTTCTAAAATGTTTAATTCTCATTTTATTGTTAACCAGAATATGTTTGTCTTTGCATTACTCCCTGCTGAGTGGGATGTTTGCCCCATGCAGAGGAGCTTTTGATTGTCCCCGTGAAGTCAGATCACCTTTGGAGTCTCTTCCTGGACAGGTCCAGAGCCTGCCAATTGAGGTGGGGCTATCTGCCCTCCTATGGTGAGTGCTGTGGAGGGAGAGGCAAAGCCACTGCT